TCTAGAAAAAAGTCTCTAAATCTCACCCAGACTGCATTAAAAATACAGTACAAATTGTGAAAAATTATTACAATTTAAAATAACTGGGTTCTATGTGAATATCTGTTAAACTGTAATTTATTCCTGTGATGCGCAGCTGTATTTTCAGCATCATTACTCCAGTCTTTTTAAGAGAAACCACTACTCAGGATTTTCTCTGACATCAAATCTTTCCTCCTCGTTTCTTCCGTACCAGTGTTTACGCTTATTTTTATGTGTTTGCCGGTCTTTCTGTCTAGACCTTTTCTGCTTCTTTGGCCATGCATGCACTGAATCTGCCTTGGAGCAATGGGAGTGTCGCTGTTACCGTAGAGGTGGTGTAATTAACTCTTAAGCTACTGTATTTGAATACATTGCAGTACTTATAAAAAATATATATTTGCTTCACAGATGATCCAAATAAAGTACACAGAATTGTCCTGTTGTCTTTTTAGTCATATCATTTTTTTGCTTCGCTTCAGAGTTTGTGCTAGAGCTGCTTGGTTTGGATCAACTTTATTGCAGAACGTTTTGATAATCCATGGAGGAATAGAATGGGAAATGTGGTTTTTCTATTGTAGTCATTCACAGTAGCCTGTGTAAAAAGCTGCACAAAACTAACGAATGGTAGGATTTTTGCAGTGTGTTAGATATGAACCGCTGTCCTGGTCCACCGATGCCGCTGTTTTTCAGATTGGTTTAGGTCTTGTGCATTGGATTTGGTAGCTCTGCTTCAGCGTCTCTCTGATCACACTTCAGGATTTCTGTTCTGGAGCGCAGACCTCACAGCCTTCAGTGTCGAACTCTCACAGCTCCATACTGGAGCAAGCATTAGGCACAGGTTTTATTTCTTGAGCTGGATGAGTGATATTCTTGCTCAGTGCTCATCATGTATACAGCAGCTCTCTGTCAGAGGTCAAATACAGTCTGAGGTTACGTGTTTTTTTGTGTTAGGGCACAGTCTGGCATATGGCCTCCCATATGTTCACCAAGACAAGGAACAAAACAGCCTAACTTGTTAATCGGCTGGGGCGTCACGTTGTCTTGTGTAATCGTTCCTGTGTCAAACACGGACACTGTTAAAGTACGTCAGCCTCCAGCCCACATCTGAAGAGAGGTCATTAGGTCTTTCTCACAGTAATATTGCTTTGTGTTTATATATTAATATCGATCTCATGCAGATGTGGTAGATGATGAACCTCTCGTGTATCATGTTTCTCTCATGCTGGCTAAACTTTGTTGCTTACAATATTCAAGACATTGACCCTAAGAGGTAAACATTAGCATCAAACAACTTGCAACAGATATGAATGATACTGCAAATCGTGCAGCTTGTTTCTGAAGCAATTTTGCAGTGACTCCTAACCAGCTGATTTTTAATGAATGAAAATTGGCAGAATAATTAAGAATTTTTCATGTTCTAGAAAAAAGTCTCTAAATCTCACCCAGACTGCATTAAAAATACAGTACAAATTGTGAAAAATTATTACAATTTAAAATAACTGGGTTCTATGTGAATATCTGTTAAACTGTAATTTATTCCTGTGATGCGCAGCTGAATTTTCAGCATCATTACTCCAGTCTTCAGTGTCACGTGATCCTTCAGAAATCATTCTAATATGCTGATTTGCTGCTCAAGAAACATTCCTGAATAATTTATGATGTTACAAAATATTTCTTCAGTGAGCTTTCTATTCATCAAAGAATCCTGAAAAAATGATAGATTCCATAAAAAATATTAGGCAGCAAATAATGTTTTCAGCATTGATGATACTGAGAATAAAATAATTGAGTACAGTAGAGGAACACAAGTGGAGTTCATCACCTGAACTCTGACGTTTGACAATAGCTTTGTCATTATTTTCAACTAGAGGTCGACCGATAGTGGATTTACCCATACGACAGCTAGGTTGGTCCACACTGGCCGATACCGATTAATCAACCGATAACTTTTAAAATGGATACTGAATGCTTTACTATTTAACCAAAAAAAAAGTAAATAAATAATAATAAAACATACTTTGTAAATGAATGAAAATATTAATATTAAATATTAATTATATATTGATCATTAAAGTTAGTTCATTGTTCATTAATGTTAACAGAAGCAACTGTAAAATTTATAAATGTATTAGTTAATGTTGAAATTAACACACTCTAGCAAGGAACAATTCCCCAGTCAGCAAATTTCCTTTGGCTCAGATCTCCAAATCAAGTGTGGCCCAGATTAGTACATGTTTGCCAGCCCAGAACTGGTCCACATCAGTGCATAACCCAACCTGAAGTGAGCCAAATAATAAACACAGATTACAGCTGTTATCAGCCTTAGTTCATGTTACAAATGGAGTCTTATTGTAAAGTGCTACCATTTCATTTCAACAGTCTTGCTTAAAGATGGCTGTTTTTTAATGCCTACACAAAGGCCATAGCATTGAATTTACATACATATGGATATTTGTTGTATGCTGTCACACTTTTGCTTCTATTCTAGAACACTTGATGATTATCTGATCAAAATAACAAAATATGGCAGTCGCACACCAGATCAGGAATCACACACACCAGATGCATCGCATTCAGTTCAAGCGGTGGCCTAAAACAGTTTATTTAATCATCAAACAGACAAAAGTGAATGAACCGATCAGTTTGTTTTCTCACGTCACAGCTTTTCATCTGCAAATTCGCTGGATAACAAATGCATTAAAGTGACCAGCTGGATATAAACTAATGCAAATAGATGGTAGCAATAGTGACATTAAGAATTTGGGTCAGATTTGCGTGTGTTTTGGTCACATGTTTTAACCGCTTGAGGTGCTGCTAATGTTAGTGTTGAGAGTCTCAGCCTTGAGAGCAAACATACTGCTGTGCTTTCTCCACTAATGCAGCATCTAGTCAACAAATTAATGACTTTATAATGCTATGAAAACATGCACTAAAGTGTACTGTGTACACACCGTTTGGTTGTCAATGTTTTAAACCTTCAATTGAAGTGTCTCGTGTCAAAACAAACAGCACGTGCTGTCAGTGATTTCCACCACTAGAAGCCGCTCTCGCTCTCGTACTATATAATGACAGCGGAGCTTTAGCTGCTCCAGCAACAGATGCAACCCAGAAAAAATATGGATTTTTATCCATATGGCATGGATTTTTGCAGATAGTTCCAGCAATCGACTATCGGTTCTGATTAATCGGGAAAACCGGTACATCGGTCAACCTCTATTTTCAACTCTAGATCCTTAGTTTCAGAATCTGAACCATAACAAACCTCTTTTGTAAAATGTTTTGCTTGGAAGAAAAAGAATATGACCAGGGTTGCCAGGTCTGCAAAACAAAACTAGCCCAATGAGCCTATCTCAAGTACCAAAACTCAAAATATGCCACTCCCATAAATGCATATTTTTACAGTCACAGGTATGTTTCATGCACAATTACAACTTGAAAATAACTAAATAATGGGAATCATAAACAAACACAGGAGCTGAATGGCTCCCCCCTTCACAAAACTCATCATCTAGCACAGTTTTATCACTGGTAGAATATAAAAATGGGAAAAATAATCCGATACAAGCATTTCATTCAGATACACTTTATTCAGTATCTCAAGCCTTTAATCTCCCGCAGGAAAAAATAAATCAACCCACAGTTTAAAAGTAGTGCAACCCTCGGCAGCAAACATTATTTAAGATGCCATCTTTTAATTGTCAGAACAGAGAGAGATGCATTTTTCGTGTCCGGTCAGTCTCTCAAAGTTCATAAATCATCCGTCTCTGTTGCGTGTGCATAAACAGCGGCACGCAGGCAGCCTGTGGATTACGTCTTACCTTTGATCTTAGACGCGCACCTGCGATACAAGAGCCACAGACTGCTTAGACATTGATCCTGATTGTGTTTTAAGCCTCCGAGCCGTGCAGGTGTTGCCATATGGCGAGAGAGCGTTCGTAAGGACACTACTGCTCCGTACAGCGGCCCTTAAGAGAAAATCAAAGCAGAGCAGAGATATCTGATGCATGAGTCTGCTGGAGTTGATGGGATAGGTCGAGCCGGGCAGCGAGCGTTGATGCTTGACCCCATTGATGAATGATGGGAATAGGCAGCTCCTTTGCTCCCCGATCAGATCAGATCTTTACTATAAGGTATGTGCTGTTATTGGTTGTTATTCGCTTGCCAGGATCTTTGGCAGCATGCTCTTGAAGAGTTTAGTTTGTTGACATGAGACCGCCTGTCTGTCATTAGCTGTATTGAAAGCATGTGTTTCCAGTTATGCTGCTCTTGTACAAAATCTGCCTAACGTCCTCAAGCAATGAAACAATGAAATACAGTCTTCTCTCACCGTGAGCATCCTCTCGTCGCTCTCAGTGAGTGTGTAATCAGTGATTTTGACATGGTTCGCCATCTTTAGCTGCAGGCTGATGCCGTGTTAGCAGTGCTGCGATTACCTTCTGTGTTTCTACATGTATGCATTTGGCAGGTGATTCAATCTGAAGTGACTTACAATGCATTCAAGCTATGTGCGAACCTTTTACTGCGCTCTACTAGAACTAGAGCTAATAATAGTTGAGCTAATAATAGTTGAGTCTGTGTGATTGCTTTTATTGTGGAAAGTGCTACAGTATAGAAATACATTGGGAATTAGGGGTGTCAGTTTCATTTTGCTTCGGGAAATTCCAAAAGGGAATGCAGTCCATTTTTATCCACAATTGAAATGTGCATACCTAAAAAATAAAAGTAGTGTTTTATTTTCCTCTCAGTAATTGTCCAGTTCCAATGCATTTAGTGTCAATTTAATTTGTTTAATTTCAATATTTAATATTAAATGCAAATTTTGTATGAGCTTCAGTCATGAGAAAATATTCTTTTTGGTAAAAACAAATGAAGTTCACAAAGGGAGCATTGTGAAACATGAGCTTAATTGGATGAGACGGGTAAGGAAGGTTGAAGGTTTCCTCAGGGTCATAACTGGCTCTTCCTTCTCTCAAACTCAGAGTGAGCTTGACGCCGAGACAGAACCTGTCCAGAATCATCCTGAAAGGAATCTTCCAGGGGGTGAAGGTGGTCCGGGGGCCCGACTGGGACTGGGGCAACCAAGACGGTGAGACACGCTCGCTAACACCTCTGACACTGCATGCTTTGCTTCAGTGAGTTTCAGCCGCTCTCATCCTGATCAGCAGAGTCTCAAAGGCTCAGAGGAAGGTTCTGGATCTACTCAGTGCAGCATCTGTAGAGCTTATAGGACACAGAAACTGAATCTCGTCAGTCTAGGGTCTGTGGGACTCTAAGGATGGATTGCAGTTTCTGGTCCTGGAGAGTTTAGTTTGAATTCAGATGAAACGCTCTGAAATAAACCAGTCACAGTCTTTGGGTTTGCCTGGAAATTCTGGTTGAAATGGTTGAAACGAAACTCTCCAGGATCAGGAATGAGACCTTTTTTTGGAAAGGGAAGTGCCTTTGCTGTTGTTGTTTTTTCACATTGATAACATTTGTGACCCTGGAGCACAAAAGCAGTCTTAAGTCGCTGGGGTATATTTGTAGCAATAGCCAAAAATACATTGTATGGGTCAAAATTATTGATTTTTCTTTTATGCCAAAAATCATTAGGATATTAAGTAAACATCATGTTCCATGAAGATATTTTGTAACTTTCCTACCGTAAATATATCAAAACTTAATTTTTGATTAGTAATATGCATTGCTAAGAACTTCATTTGGACAACTTTAAAGATGATTTTCTCAATATTTCGATTTTTTTGCACCCTCAGATTCCAGTTTTTCAAATAGTTGTATCTCAGCCAAATATTGTCCGATCCTAACAAACCATACATCAATGGAAAGCTTATTTATTCAGCTTATATTCAGCTATTGACCCTTATGACTGGTTTTGTGGTCCAGGGTCACATATGAGTTGTATAATGTGAACACTTTTTTGAACTCATGGGATGTAGACACTGGGAGTGTTGGACAGTGTCATGCTGTTTTATCATCTGCTCTGCTGTTTCTATAAACACTTGCACATGTTCTCGTGTGAAGATATTTTCGTATTATTTTAAAATGTTGAATGACTTTAATGATGAATGAGTCAAAATGTCCTTGTGATGATCACTGGCTGATCCTCGCAGACGTCTGTAGACGGTGAGGTTTTGACTGAGAGGTTCTCTGGTTCTCGGTGTTATGTGTGTGATCTGAAAACATATTCTGGCTGTCATTGCTGCGTTTTAGTGCTGTTAGTTGTTGCTGAACTCGTGTGTGTTAGTTGGTGATGGTGGTTATTAGATGTTGTAGCAGATGTGATGATGAATCTCACAGAGCTTGTGAACATGTCCGTATTTCACCCCAAAATCAAAAGAAAAAGTCAGAAAGGTTTTCCATTCAACCTTTTCTCAGGATTTAAGACCATTAAGGCTATAATGAGGTCTACTCTTAGGACTGTTAAGAAAAGCTAAAGAGTAGGATTGACATTGGTCGTGAAAAATAGCCTTGATTTTCTTCATGCAAAATATGATTGCTTATTTCGTCTTGTGATTTTGGGGTAAATCTTGACAGGGTTTGTGAGATTCAGCTGTGTTCTCCTGTATTTGCCATAGCTTTTTGAGTATTTCTTTGTTGTTCCCTTGCTGTATCTTTTCATTGCGAAAAGTGAAATCTTTGCTCTTATTTATCGGCTTTGGTGTGTTTTAGTTGTTACGTGTCATTTACTCTGATCCAGTGTCAGAAACAGGCCATATTTGCTTCCCGGAGTTGATTTTATTCGTTTGATGATGGTATATTTCTATCCATTAATTAACATGAAAACACAGTGTTTTCCATCTTCTTCCATTTGCATGAAGTAAAATAATTATGACTGTTACTCATATAAGCAAATCAACATAAAATTCAAAAACAGCTGTAGATAAAGCACAGTAACATGATGAAACTCAGGTCATGATTTACTGATTATTATCCCCTCCGTGTTAATGAGATGCACGGTAACTTTGTTTACCTCCTGACTCCATATAAAGAGGAGACTTGAGCCGCACACAGATTTCCAGTAAAGTAAGTGTTTTGAACATGGCCTGGTTTGGTGTTTATGCTCCCATAAACAGTGTGGTTAAGGTAGCGCTAAGCTTGTGCTTCAGGTCACAGCCACTGTTTTCACAGTCGTCACAGTCAGCGACAGCATACACTCAACACGTCATCGGCTCTGGCTAGTAAAAATGTAACTAGTCTCTTATTTTGGGAGTGTTTTTCTTTGCATTTAAAGTTTTCCATGGGAAACCACATCATATCAGCTTTACATTCAGCAACACTCACAGCTATATGGTGCATCATAACATCATAAGCAGATTATGGTTAAATCTCAAAATTTAGCGTATAAAACCACAGGTATTCTCAACATTTGGTTCCTTTCAGATGCATTTTCTGACCCTACTCTGCTCTGATCAGATTTCTAATTTCTTCCAGACAAAATGCATGCATGTAGGTTTTCTCCAGTCTCTCATGTTTATATCCTTCAAAGCTGCTGATGTTGGTCTGAGACTGCTGCCCTGTGCTGCTTCTGTCTCTGTGTGTGTGTGTGTGTGTGTGTGTGTCTGTCTGTCTGTCTGTGTGT